GCAGCGTGTATCTATATTGTTTGATGCATAAAGAGTCAAATTTATGAGTTATTTCACCATGCTTTTAACTAAATCAAATGTTCTCTGCTCCTAAAGTTACACAGTAACAACGTATAGCACCAGAACGCCGAAATATAACCATATATTAAAAATTTGCGGGCTGATATTATTACTTTCTATGGTACGTGTTATTGATATCATTGAAGGATCATTAAGAAAGCATGCTGAAAAGAGGGAGCAGGTGACACTTTTTGTTAATTGGTCCAACAGGCTAGAAATTGCGGTTGATTCCAGGGGAATGGGCAGAAAGCGCGCCAATTGCCACAAGTAGCTGAGACAGATGTACCCCACCCGATATGATCATTTCACGTCTAATGTAATAATCGTCGTGTTTCTCATCATGTGCACCTCGGTGAGGCGATGCGTCGCGATTCAAGCAATCCGTTTTCTGCCCCCATCATTGGCCGAGTAATTTGACCGCCTAATCGCCCCAGCATGTTCTTCGACGACTGAATCGACGTTTGAAGTGCAGCAAAACTCAGTTTGTAGTTCTGAACGCCCACCGGTTGCTCCTCGGGCGAGTCATATGGCCGGCCCACCTTCTTTCAGCATTGTAGAACGCAGAAATAACGTTCGTTAATCCGGCTGCTTTCGAATTTGCGCGCTGAGAACGTGATCTCGCAGGGACGCCTAGCACACTTTTGCCTTAGTCGCTCTTTGCGTGACCACCAGTCCGTTCTCCTCAGCTTTGGTAGCTGAGCAACATTCAGAGCCGTAGATTATGGCTATAGAATGATCGAATACAATGGTTTATTTTGTTTGTTCCCATTGGTAGCCCCTGTCGCATGATGCCGTTTTAATATTGACAAAGCTGGTCAGTGCTTCCTTTATTCTTCTGCTGATACGAGTGTCTAGCCAATTCATGTGGTAAACTTATCTACCGAGTTATACGTAAAAAGGAACTTCTATGAGTTCGTTGCCAGCGGTATAAAAGAGACATCAGGGCAGTGTTCGCTTTAATCTATTTTGTCTTTGAGAGGTTAACCTCAAATTCTGATGGTAAGAGAATTTTTTGCAGCTGCTGGTTCTTCTGTTGGAACTTCATCGTGTCGTGTGTGAAGATGATACTGCCGCCTGCAAGTAACGAGTACTAAACCAGCTTAGTTAATTGTAAAGCGACTTAGCGCCGCAGAAAAGACCGCTGGCTAGATGATCCTTCCTTGGGACACTCCTCGACGGATACTGATGCAACATGGTTCACTGAATAGCTTGCAGTCAGAAGTGACCAGGCTGACTTCAGCAGGATTTGTCACATTCGTGCAATGAGCTTACCACTGCTGTAAAACTACCGCATATACATTAAAACATGGGTTCGTATACCGAAGTTGGCTACCGAAGGGCCTAACTCCTGTAAGACAAGATTTAACGTCGAATTAACGAACGCTATGCCAGAACATATTTAAACCTTACTATTCCTATGCAGTGCTGTAACAAGAAAGGACCAACATACGGAGAAAATAATACTAGCATTGCACTGTACTCCTTGGACAGCAAGAGATATGTAGCGGAAAACGCTAGCACGACGAAAGAAGAAGTATGAGAAAGTTGCTCAAGCTTTCCAGCCTACGGTCAATGGAAGATACTCAACTATTGATTGATTTAAGTCTGATAACCCTATAAAGTTATGACAGCATTTAATAGTTGATTAGAACAGGACACCGAAAGTATTACATAAAAGGACGATCCTCCGATTGAATTCCCATTCGATCATGCCATCTTTAAAACTAGGCAACATAAACCGTCTCGCATTCCTGCTCCACTTGCAGACGTGCCAGATGTACCTGTCATAAATTTTAACTTTTGGAGATTATAACAGAGACAGACCATCGCTGTTGCATCTCAAAAAAAATTTTCAGAAAGCAAGTCTGATTACTCAGCAAGGCAGCACAGTCTAGGCACAGTACGTTGGATGACAGTACGTTATTCGACTGGGCAACCTGAACAGCATCTACTGCTAGCATACAATTAAAACTTTTGGTCATTAGACACGTTCCTTTTAGAAATTGCTGTTTCGAGCAGAAATGGTCAAGCAATAATCTAAACAAGCGCAACAGTGGTAGCCTATTTGTCCGTGTGTGTCATCGTCGGTTATGACCATGACATAATAGTAATGCTTAATCTACTGACATCCGTTGGGCAGCAAGTAAGTCATGATTCCTGTATCTCTTCACGCAATTCAAAGTACAGGTTACCTAATTTTTCGTTGATTTCAGCTGGGCTATTCTTGGTACTATCTATTTTGTCGAAGGGTTGATGCAATGGTTTCTCGTCCGCTCCGCTGCTCAGTTTAAAGCTTAGAGGACAGTCTTGATGGTATCGACAAAACAATCGTAATTCGCTCTTATGCTGCCATTGCTGACGTTCATTTCAAGGTATATTAATGCAGCTGGCCTACGAAAGTTTCTGGATCGATTAGTCGTTGATGACATGTCGGTGACATTTGCGATTTTTGATCCATTCTTCTTTTGCAATATCTGAGGAAACTGTGGAAAGTAGATATCTGTAGTTTGTCTATGTGCAGACGATGTTCTTGCCTATGATTGGCACGTACTGCATTATTCTTTTCCCGACAGTCAGTATATAGTCAATGGCTTTTTTACCACTAACATAATGAAAACAAGAGTGTTAGAATTAGCTCAACGTCTATAAACTTTCATTTGCTTCTCCTGAAAAGTTAAGCGTTTTGCCTGAAGATTAATTATTACTGCTACTGACTTCATAATGTTTAGGAAAGATGCCAAAAAACGGTTTTCATTTGATGAACGATACTGGTGATTTTTAAGCAAAGTCACATTCACTTACCATGTAGTATTAGCTCATATTGAGAAGACTTTGCGACCAGTACACAGTCGAAATGATTGGAGAATAGCAGGTAATCCATTGCGTTGAAAATGTTTCCGTATAGATTAGCGTTGTGAAATCTCATATTTTGTTTTAATATGAAAGTCATTTCCCCGACAAATTTGTTACAATTTGGATTTATCATAATAATAAAGAGGCAGCATAAGCACGCTTAATTTAGCACAAGGCTAACAAGTGGTCGATCGGAAAACATACAGCTACCATCTAGAAATCTAACAATACCACCTGATAATGAACTGTCAACCGATGGAAAGATAGACTGTATCCTGTTAAGTAAATCTTGCTTATGCAGAGCTTCAGTACATCTGAGAACTACGAATAGAATACAATCCGCCCTTATCAAGGGTTTTGCGCATGTATTTTAACTAAATCCCTGTGAAGGTTCCTCACTTCACAGAAATCAAATGATCTGACAGTTGAAATCTGAAAAATGAATAAACATGGTTTACACACAACTCAGGCAAACATGTAGATCATTCGGTAGAGTGGTCATTACTCACGCTTTGGCCCATCTCTCATGAGCCTTCATCACGTTTCTGAAGGTTTCTCTGGTTTTCAATTTCTGAGCTGGTTCTGTGATCCGTCATTGTTAGTGGAGAGACTTTTAGGGTGTATATGAACGAAGGTTAGCTTCTTTAACAACATTATTCAATTTCTTTAGATGTACTTACCGTTTTAAATGAAAAAGTCATTGTTCTAGCGGCGTAGGTCGTACAAGTTTACGATAGTCCTTAGTTGTGATAGTCACTCTATCTCGTCCACAAACTTCGAACACTTCTTATGGTTGCTGTCCAACATACCTATCTAAACCCCAATTTTCCAGACTCATTGAAACACCTCCGAAATTCAACTGTAATCACATGGAACCAGAGTTTTACTGTTGACTTAATATACATAAATCTATTGTTCCCATTAAACCAAATTTGCTGTTAGACTGTATTCATGTCAAGCTGTATTCAGGCCTTTAATTGAAAAAGTCCTATCATACACCAAAAGCTTCGAGTTTTGCAAGCAACTGAAGCAAATTAAACCCTGTGAATGAAGAATTACGGTCATTAACAATGCTAGGTATTTATTTACTAACGTTCGTGTTGACTATGCCATGAAAATAACAGCTGAACCTATTCTAACTGACGACTCACTCAAAGAAATTATAATAAGCATATAGAAAGATAGCAAGTTAATTCTATCATGAAGTTAGTAAGTTTTGCATGGTAGAATCGAAGTACTCTTCCCCATTGTTGCCTAAAGTTTTATGGAACATTTTAAATGCATGGTTCGTAATACGAGCCCTGACTCATTTCGAAAGATTCCTAAAAGATAGTTGACATTATTTTGTCATTTGTTTCAGTGGAAATGAAAGTAAGGCGCTAAACTTCCTAAATAGCTAACAGTTGCAAAGGGGAATGACTCAAGTCTACCCTTCCTTGATGTTTAAATAATCAACCTCTGTAATCGCTATGAAACCAAACTTAATCGTAGATCTACCAGCATCGATAAATATCTAAACTTTAACTCAGATTATCATTTAAATAACAAAAAATATGGAATTACAGCTCTTCTCCTTTCTCTTGTTTAACAGAGCTCTATAACTCTCTGCAGTAATGAATTTTTAAAGAAATAATGCATGTTAAGGCAGAGTTGTGTGGTAAAAAGACTTATCCATTCAAGTTCGTTCGTTAATAATACCATAAATCATAGAATTAAATATTTTAAATTCACTACCGACACCAATAACTTGAGAAAAAACATTTAAAACAAGAAACTATTTAATTCTGCCTTATCACAAAAATTTTAGTGAAAAATTACTAAGACTGCTTTACATTAAATGAGTATCAAGTGATTTGTAATAGCTGCAATACACTTACTATTTTGCTAACTAACCCTGGAAATAACAGCTCTTTAAGTTGGATTTATAAATTATCTCGCGACTGCCGAAAATATTATATGGGAGAAACCAAAAACGTTGTCACTCAAAGAACAAATGATCAGCTATCAAACTGGAGAAGATTGATGATGGCAAATAAACGCGAACGGCATGAGGCCACAAAGCATCAGGAAGAAAGTAAATCTTTGCTCCAAACCAGGGGCCAAAGAATAATACGAAAAGGCCTTAGGCATCTTGCAACACACAGAGAAAAGTCACGGTCTCAAATAAATAGATTACGTGGACATTATTAAAAAAAAATATTGGCAGAGCAGACGAACCAAAGTTTTAATTATCCAATCTTAGAAAAATGTCAGCGGGGAAGAAGGGTACAAACTTTGCGTGGATTGGACAATCCTTATCCAACCGTGACAAATAATAAAGTATTTAACTGGCAGCATGGGCAGAAAGCACAACTTTGGCTCCGAGTGTCACGGCAAATGCAGAGCACGGGATTAATCGCGAAAATCAACCCTGACCAACCTCAAAACATGCTGGTCAATCACCCGAATGACTAGCATATTCGTTTGCGTTGTGTATAAATAGACCGTTTTTATACATTTTTCAATACGATCGCCAACATAATAACACAATGCTCATTCCTTAGTATATCAAATATTTAATCTGTCGCTTCGACAACATAGCTCAAATCAGAAATCTTGAATACGCTCCTAAATTTAGACGTACTTCCAATGTAAGAATCATTAAATTCGCAAAGTTTAATTAGAAAAAATTTCAGAATACTAATTACAACAGTTAAACATCGTAATCTGGTAGAACACTGAAAGTTTTAAAGATGTGACTAAAATGTTTGAACATCAATAGCATTTATGCCAGAAAGCAGTCGTCGAAGATTTACCGCGCATTTCGCATATAAAATCAAAATGTGATGCGCAGGTTAGATGATTATCGCTGATTGTACGGTTACGAGGCAGATGGGACAGTCGATGCACCGGATATCGGCCGGCTACTTGGCGGGGAGCAGTATGGAACAGAAATCGAAATCAGAAGATACGTGACCGCTGTACGCGTGGGTTTTTCTGCTAGACGGGTGGAAGGTATAAATATGCGTGATATGTTGATATACCTTCTCGTTTTACTGCTCCGGGCCGACTTTATGGTGGGTGAGGCGGCAGCAGCGAGGACGGCAAATTCAACGACGGCAGTCGGGGTTGAAGTTTCTGACGATCGAGGGAAGACGATGTGCTCGCAGATGAGGGACCAGTTCCACGGTGCCGTTTCGCTGGTTCCGGGGGGCTTACAGACGCTCGATGCTTTCCTTATACCCGGCCGTGCGCTGGACGGCGCCCACTTGAAGGTGTGTTCTCCAGGACCGAGCACATGCTGCACGGAGGAAATGGAAGCAGGTTTCGTGCAGGCGTCAAAAACGGGCTTCAGGAAATTGGTTGAAGATAAAATCGTCGGGCTGAGCCACATTTTTAAGACGAGAACGACCAATTTCGACCGTGAGTTGTTTGCTTTGTTATTAAGCTGATTTACGCGTTTTGAGTAACGTCGCTTAACGTGAGGTGATCGAGACAGCGACGTTTTTGCGGGCGATGTCACGTGTGGCTGGGGTGCGAAACTTTTGTCGCCATCCATCGTCCGCTTTCCTCAACGAATTAAGGGTGACGGTGACAGGTCACGGGTCGTAAACCTGATCTGCGTTTCTGGCCGTCCCTACGTCCACGGATCGGTCTCTT